TAATTGCTGCTCATTCAGAGGAGGAGTTGGAGACGCTGCTGCTGAGACTGGAGCGTGCCACTAAGAGGTGGGGCCTTACCATCAGCCCCACCAAAACTAAGCATCTGCCTGGGTATTTTGTACCATCGGACACTCCACCCCCACAACTCCCAGTCGGTGATGGGGCAGTAGTGGAGAGAGTGGAGAGTTTCCCATACCCGGGCAGTGTGCTCATGACCGGCTCTGGTTTAATAGCAGAGGCCTCATTCCTAATCAGTCGAGCGGCACTATCTTTTCATCGGTTGCGTAACGCTGTGTGGAAGCTACCTGGTCTGTCGCTCCGCACGAAGCTTTAGGTCTTCTCGGCCACGGTCATTCCCTCCCTTCTCTACATTTGCGAATCGTGGACCCCCTAACGGAACATCTTCGCCGGTTATAAACATTTAGGCTGGCCTGCCTACGATCCATCCTGGGTTTAACCAGGCTGGACTGTGTGAGGAGCTCACAAATCCTCGAAAGATCTGGACAAAGTCCCATCGGTGAGTTCCTCCGGCAGGCAAGGCTGCGTTGGCTGGGTCATGTAGCCCGCATGCCCAGCCACCGCATGCCTAAACAGCTTTTGTTCGGCCGGATCGAGGGGGCTAAACGGGCACGGCACGGGCTAGAGAAGGGATGGAGTGATGTGGTACAGGAGGATGTGGAGCTGAGTGGACTTGCCGATGACTGGTATCAGCGGTGTCAAGATCGGCCTCAGTGGAGGAGGCTCGTGAAGGACGCTACTGGACAGTTGGAGGCAGTCGCCCTCCAACAACAACGGAGGGCGGAGGAGCGACGCTCACAACAACGAGCGGAGCGCCGGGTGGCTAAAGCACAGCAAGTTGGTACAGTGGGGGGCACAGGTGGTGCATCAGCCAGTCATCTCGGTCATCTCGGTCAGTCGACCCGTGGCACCTGGGTCTGCCCCGTGACCTCCTGCCAGCGGGCGTTCGACACTTCACGTGGCCTCAAGGTGCACATGGCCTGGCACAAGCGTCGTGGTGACGTCACCGCCACTTAGTAGCGAATGGCGGTTGTTGTTGTTGTGTGTGTGTGTACCTGCGTGTGTCTGTGTGTGTGTGATGCTGTGTGTGTGACGCTATGTGTGTGTGTATGTGTGTGTGTACCTGTGTGTGTGTGTATGTGTGTGTGTGTACCTGGTACACGAGGGCGATGGCCGCACCTCCCTCCAGCCGCTGTTTGTCCTCCGTGGAGACGGGAAGCACCACAGGGACAGACAGATTCATCACCCCGCCTAGCAGACACCACAGATAGACACAGAGTAGTCGGTGAGTGGGTGAGTGGGTGAGTGGTGAGTGAGTGAGTGTGGGTGGGTGAGTGAGTGAGTGGGTGAGTGAGTGGGTGAGTGAGTGAGTGGGTAGGTGAGTGAGTGAGTGGGTGAGTGAGTGGGTGAGTGGGTGGGTGAGTGGGTGTTTGAGTGGTGAGTGAGTGAGTGGGTTAGTCAGTGAGTGAGTGGTGAGTGAGTGGTGAGTGAGTGGTGAGTGAGTGAGTGAGTGGGTGAGTGGGTGAGTGAGTGGGTGAGTGGGTGAGTGAGTGGGTGAGTGAGTGAGTGAGTGGGTGAGTGAGTGAGTGAGTGGGTAGGTGAGTGAGTGAGTGAGTGGGTGAGTGAGTGGGTGAGTGAGTGAGTGGGTAGGTGAGTGAGTGAGTGGGTGAGTGAGTGGGTGAGTGGGTGGGTGAGTGGGTGTTTGAGTGGTGAGTGAGTGGTGAGTGAGTGAGTGGGTTAGTCAGTGAGTGAGTGGTGAGTGAGTGGTGAGTGAGTGGTGAGTGAGTGAGTGGGTGAGTGAGTGTATGAGTGAGTGTATGAGTGAGTGGTGAGTGAATGGTGAGTGAGTGGTGAGTGGGTGAGTGGGTGAGTGAGTGAGTGAGTGGGTGAGTGAGTGAGTGAGTGGGTGAGTGGGTGTTTGAGTGGTGAGTGAGTGAGTGGGTTAGTCAGTGAGTGAGTGGTGAGTGAGTGGTGAGTGAGTGGTGAGTGAGTGAGTGGGTGAGTGAGTGTATGAGTGGTGAGTGAGTGAGTGGTGAGTGAATGGTGAGTGAGTGGTGAGTGAGTGGGTGGGTGAGTGGGTGAGTGAGTGAGTGAGTGGGTGAGTGGTGAGTGAGTGAGTGGTGAGTGAGTGGGTGGGTGAGTGGGTGAGTGAGTGAGTGAGTGGGTGAGTGAGTGAGTGAGTGGGTGAGTGTGTGAGTGAGTGGTGAGTACCATCGAGCAGGCAGTTGAAGTGCAGGCACTGTAAGTATTCCCTCTCACGCATGAAGCCGGCCAGCGGCGTAGCCCAGCCCTCAGACAGCACCTGCACCCACTGCAGGTCCAACTGCACACACACAGACACACACATATATACACATACTACACAGATACACACAGACACAAATATATACAAATACTACACATACACACACACTCACACACACTCACACACACACACATTTAGACACATACTACACAGATACACACTCACTCACCCACTCAGACACACACACTCACTCACCAACTCACTCACCCACCCACTCACTCACCCACTCATTCACCCACTCATTCACACACTCAGTCACTTACACACTCACACACTCCCCCACTCACCCACTCACTCATCCACTGACTCACACACTCAAAAACTCACTCACTGACTCACCTACTCACCCACTGACTCACTCACCTACTCACCCACTCACTCACTCCCACGCTCACTCACTCACCCACTCACCCTTTCTCTCACCCACTCACCCACCCACTCACCTCTGTGATGCTCAGTGTGGGCAAGCCCTGCATCTCGGCCTGCAGGGCGCTCACGGCGTTCTCAGCTACGAAGAGCTCCTTGACCTCCACTGTGGCGGACATGGGCACAATACCCTGTGTGTGTGACACACACACAGTGACACACACAGTGAGTGACACACACAGTGAGTGACACACACAGTGAGTGAGTGACACAGTGAGTTACTGAGTGAGTGACACAGTGAGTGACTGAGTGAGTGACTGAGTGAGTGACTGAGTGACACTGAGTGAGTGACTGAGTGAGTGACTGACTGACTGAGTGAGTGACTGAGTGAGTGACTGAGTGAGTGAGTGACTGAGTGAGTGACACAGTGAGTGACTGAGTGAGTGACTGAGTGAGTGAGTGAGTGACTGACTGAGTGAGTGACTGAGTGAGTGAGTGAGTGACTGAGTGAGTGTTTCACCCCCTCCTGCAGGAGCTCCACGATCCGCATGACGCACTCATCGATGGTCGTCTCGCTCGTCTTGAGCACCAGGTCCGGAGTCTCCGGCTTGTCGTACGACGAGTCAATGCCGGTGAAGCCTGCGCACAGACGCACACACACAGTGTACACAGTGAATACACACACACAGTGTACACACACACACACAGTGTACACACACACAGTGCACACAGTGAACACACACACAGTGTACACACACGCACACAGTGTATACACACACAACAACAACCGCCATTCGCCACTAAGTGGCGGTGACGTCACCACGACGCTTGTGCCAGGCCAAGTGCACCTTGAGGCCAGGTGAAGTGTCGAACGCACACACACACAAGCACACACACACACAGTGTACACACACACACAGTGTACACACACACACACAGTTCACACACACAGTGTACACACACACACAGTGTACACACACACACAGTGTACACACACAGTCTGTGTGGTCCCTCCCTTTAAGAAGGGGGACCGCACAGACTGTAACAACTACAGGGGCATCTCACTCCTCAGTGTGCCGGGAAAGGTCCTGGCAAGGATTGCTTGCGGAGCCCCAATGCGGTTTCAGGAAAGGGCGGTCCTGCACTGATGCCATATTTTCTGTCTGTCTGCTACAGCAGAGGTGTAGGGAATTCCAACAAGACCTACATCTCTGCTTTATTGACCTGGTCAAGGCCTATGATACTGGTTAGAAACATTGAGGCTGGCCTGCCTACCATCCATCCTGGGTTTAACCAGGCCGGATTGGACAAAGTCCCATCGGTGAGCTCCTCCTGCAGGCAAGGCTGCGTTGGCTGGGTCATGTAGCCCGCATGCTCAGCCACCGCATGCCTAAACAGCTTTTGTTCGGCCGGATCGAGGGGGCTAAATGGGCACGGCATGGGCTAGAGAAGAGATGGAGTGATGTGGTACAAGAGGACGTGGATCTGAGTGGACTTGCCGATGACTGGTACCAGCGGTGTCAAGATCGGCCTCTGTGGAGGAGGCTCGTGAAGGACGCTACTGGGCAGTTGGAGGCAGTCGCCCTCCAACAACAACGGAGGGCGGAGGAGCGACGCTCACAACAACGAGTAGAGCGCCGGGTGGCTAAAACGCAGCAAGTTGGCACAGTAGGGGGCACAGGTGGTGCATCAACCACTCGTCTCAGTCAGTCGACCTGTGGCACCTGCTGAGTCTGCCCCGTGACCTCCCGTCAGCGGGCGTTCAATACTTCACGTGGCCTCAAGGTGCACATGGCCTGGCACAAGCGTTGTGGTGACGTCACCGCAACTTAGGGGCGAATGGCGGTTGTTGTTGTGTGTGTGTGTGTGTCTGTGTGTGTCTCACCCTTGATCTCCCCGGCTCTGGCCTTCTTGTAGAGGCCTTTCACGTCTCGTTGCTCACAGACCTCCAGCGGAGCGTCCACAAAGAGCTCAAAGAAGGGCAGCCCAGCGTCAGAGTGGATCTTACGGGCATTCTCACGGTCCTACAGAGACACACGCAGAGAGACACACACACACATAGATATAGAGACATAGACACACACATAGACATAGACACATAGACACACACATAGACACACACACACACAGAGACACACACAGAGACACACACAGATATAGACACATAGACATACACACACACTGAGTGACTCGCCGAGTGACTGACTGAGTGAGTGTGCAACTGAGTGTGTAACTGACTGAGTGACTGAGTGAGTGACTGACTGAGTGACTGAGTGACTGACTGAGTGACTGAATGACTGAGTGACTGACTGACTGTCTGAGTGTGTAACTGAGTGTGTAACTGACTGAGTGACTGACTGAGTGACTGACTGACTGAGTGACTGACTGAGCGACTGACTGAGCGACTGACTGAGTGACTGACTGAGTGACTGACTGAGCGAGTGACTGAGTGACTGACTGAGTGACTGACTGAGTGTGTAACTGACTGAGTGACTGACTGAGTGACTGACTGACTGACTGAGTGACTGAGTGACTGACTAAGCGACTGACTGAGCGACTGACTGAGCGACTGACTGAGCGACTGACTGAGTGACTGACTTACTAAGCGACTGACTGACTGACTAAGCGACTGACTGACTGAGCGACTGACTAAGCGACTGAGTAGTTACCCGCTGGTAGGGAGAGATGAACGAGGTGATGCACACCAGCCCCGCGTCAGCGAACAGCCTGGCCACCTCTGCGATGCGCCGGATGTTTTCCTCGCGGTCGCTCGGCGTGAAGCCCAGGTTCTTGTTGAGGCCGTGGCGGACGTTGTCACCGTCCAGCGAGTAGCAGGGGATGTCGTGCACCACCAGATACTCCTCCAGCGCAAAGCCCAGGGTCGTCTTGCCCGCTCCGGACAGACCTGGCGGACACACGGAGCGCGTGTGGGTGTCTCTGTGTGTCTCTGTGCGTCTCTGTGTCGATGTCTCTGTGTGTCTCTGTGTGTCTCTGTGTGTCTGAGTGAGTGAATGTGTGAGTTTGTGAGTGAGTGTGTGAGTGAATGAGTGTGTGAGTGAGTGAGTGTATGAGTGAATGTGTGAGTTTGTGAGTGAGTGTGTGAGTGAATGAGTGAATGAGTGTGTGAGTGAGTGAGTGTATGAGTGAATGTGTGAGTTTGTGAGTGAGTGAGTGAATGAGTGTGTGAGTGGGTAAGTGTGTGAGTGAGTGTGAGTGAGTGTGTGAGTGAGAGAGTGTGTGAGTGAGTGAGTGTGTGAGTGAGTGTGCGAGTGTGCGAGTGTGCGAGTGAGTGTGTGATTGAGTGTGTGTGAGTGACCGTGTGAACGAGAGGGTGAGTGGGTAAGTGGGTGAGTGAGTGTGAGTAAGTGTGAGGGAGTCTGTGTGAGTGTGAGTGAGTGTGTGTGAGTGAGTGAGAGTGAGTGAGTTAGTGTGAGTGAGTGTGTGTGAGTGAGTGAATGTGTGTCTCTGTGTGTCTCTGTGTAGATGTCTCGGTGTGTCTCTGTGTGTCTCTGTGTCTCTGTGTGTCTGTGTGTGTCTGTGAGTCTTTGTGTGTCTCTGTGTGTCTCTGTGTCGATGTCTCTGTGTGTCTCTGTGTGTCTGTGTGTCTCTGTGTGTCTCTGTGTGTCTCTGTGTCTCTCTGTGTATCTTTGTGTGTCTCCGCGTGTCTCCGCGTGTCTCCGCGTGTCTCCGCGCGTCTCTGTGCGTCTCTGTGCGTCTCTGTGCGTCTCTGTGCGCCTCTGCGCGTCTCTGTGTGTCTCTGTGTGTCTCTGCGTGTCTCTGTGTGTGTCTCTGTGCGTCTCTGCGCATCTGTGTGTGTGTCTCTGTGTGTTTCCGTGTCTCCTTGTATCTCCGTGTATCTCTCTGTGTCTCTGCGTGTCTCTGCGTGTCTCTGCGTGTCTCTGAGTGTCTCTACGTGTGTCTGCGTGTCTCTACGTGTGTCTGCGTGTCTCTGAGTGTCTCTGTGTATCTCTGTGTGTCTCTGTGTGTCTCTGTGTCTCCGTGTATCTCTCTGTGTCTCTCTGTGTCTCTGTGTGTCTCTGTGTGTCTCTGTGTGTCTCTGTGTGGAGAAGAGATGGAGTGACGTGATACAGGAGGACGTGGAGCTGCGTGGACTTGCCGATGACTGGTACCAGCGGTGTCAAGATCGGCCTCTGTGGAGGAGGCTCGTGAAGGACGCTACTGGGCAGTTGGAGGCAGTCGCCCTCCAACAACAACGGAGGGCGGAGGAGCGACGCTCACAACAACGAGCGGAGTGCCGGGTGGCTAACGCGCAGCAAGTTGGTACAGTAGGGGGCACAGGTGGTGCATCAGCCAGTCATCTCGGTCATCTCAGTCAGTCGACCCGTGGCACCTGCTGGGTCTGTCCCGTGACCTCCTGCCAGCGGGATTTCGACACTTCACGTGATAGCCTCAAAGTGCACATGGCCCGGCAAAAGCGTCGTGGTGACGTCACCGCCACTTAGTGGCGAATGGCGATTGTTGTGTTGTTGTGTATGTATGTGTGTGTATGTGTGTGTATGTGTGTATGTGTGTGTGTGTATGTATCTGTGTGTATATGTGTGTGTATCTGTGTGTATGTATCTGTGTGTATGTGTGTGTGTATCTGTGTGTATGTATGTATATGTTTGTATGTGTGTGTGTATGTATGTGTGTGTATGTGTGTGTGTGTATGTGTGTGTATGTGTGTGTGTGTACCTGTAAGCCAGATGGTGCATCCCCTGAACCCGGCCCGGTTCCCGACCACCTGGCCACGCTTGGAGCGACTCACGTGGTGAGACTGATACACCACATTCGTAGCACGCTGCATGTCCTGTAGACACACAGACACACACACAGACACACACAGTGAGACTGATACACACACACAGATACACACACACACAGACACACACACACAGATACACACACAGTGAGACTGATACACACACACACAGACACACACACAGACACACACACAGTGAGACTGATACACACACACACAGATACACACACAGATACACACACAGATACACACACACAGACACACACACACAGACACACACACAGTGAGACTGATACACACACAGAGACACACAGACACACACACACACAGACACCCAGACACACACAGATACACACAGATACACACAGATACACACAGACACAAAAAGATCCCCCATATAGCCTTAACAGACTGTAGGGGCAAGTACTGTTAGCGAGCACCTATGAAGGCCAGCACGGCACACGAGGGGGTGGGTGGCCAGCACCACGCCCGGCCGCCTTTGTCTCTCCCCCAGTGCTAGCGATGTTCACTACACTACACCGCTACACCAGGTACTCATTTGAGGCTGAGTCGACCTAGGGGAGGCCCGGGACCGGCTCAGATAATCCGTCACCGGTGTTGGCCGTGAGCGGGAATCGAACTCGGGTCGCCAGGTTCGTAGCGCAGCATAGCGCTAACCACTACACCCACCGCTCCCCATAACAGCACCTACACACAGACAAAGATCCCCCGTGTAGCCTCTAGCAGGCTGTAGGGGCAAGTGCTGTAAGTAGCACCTACACAGACAAAGATCCCCCGTGTAGCCTCTAGCAGGCTGTAGGGGCAAGTGCTGTCAGTAGCACATACACACAGACAAAGATCCCCCGTGTAGCCTCTAGCAGGCTGTAGGGGCAAGTGCCGCCAGTAGCACCTACACACAGACAAAGATCCCCCGTGTAGCCTCTAGCAGGCTGTAGGGGCAAGTGCTGTTAGTAGCACCTATACACAGACAAAGATCCCCGGTGTAGCCTCTAGCAGGCTGTAGGGGCAAGTGCTGCTAGTAGCACCTACACACAGACAAAGACCCCCCGTGTAGCCTCTAGCAGGCTGTAGGGGCAAGTGCTGTTAGTAGCACCTATACAGACAAAGATCCCCCGTGTAGCCTCTAGCAGGCTGTAGGGGCAAGTGCTGTTGCTACCACTACTACCACTACCACCACCACACAGGCATTTTCGCTGTCACTTACTTTAGGAACCCATGTGCTGAGGAACGCCATGGCACTACCACTCAGACACTCACAGAGACACTCACAGGGACACTCACAGAGAGACACACAGAGACTCAGAGAGACACAGAGACACTGGGAGAGAGTCACAGATAGACACTCACAGAGAGACACTCACACACAGAGACACGGAGACACTGGGAGAGAGAGACAGAGAGACACAGACACAGAGAGACACTGGGAGAGAGACACAGAGAGACAGAGACACAGAGACACTGCAAGCGACACAGAGAGACACAGAGAGACACTGAGACACACAGAGAGACACAGGCAGAGAGACTGTGTGTGTGTGTGACTGTGAGAGACTGTGAGTGTGAGCGCCGTGAGCGCCGCTTTAGTAGCCCGGCAGCGGCCGTGGGCGGAGCCCCGCGGAGGGTCATGGGCCCCTGAGTGAGGGCCCCTGAGTGAGGTCAAGGGCCCCTGAGTGAGGTCAAGGGCTCCTGAGTGAGGTCATGGGCCCCGCCAGAGCTCCATAAAGATCGACCAGGTCACTCAGGGGCCCTTGACCTCACTCAGGGGCCCATGACCTCACTCAGGGGCCCATGACCTCACTCAGGGGCCCTCACTCAGGGGCCCTCACTAAGGGGCCCTCACTCAGGGGCCCATGACCTCACTCAGGAGCCCTCACTCAGGGGCCCATGACCTCACTCAGGAGGACCTCACTCATAGGCCCATGACCTCACTCAGGGTGTACATTGTGAGTGTGTGACACTGTGTGGGTGAGCGAGTGAGTGTGTGAGTGTGTGTCTGTGTGACACTGTGTGTGTGTGAGTGTGTGAGTGTATGAGCGTGTGTCTGTGTGACACTGTGTGTGTGAGTATGTGACACTGTGTGTGTGAGTGTGTGTGTGTGACACTGTGTGTGTGTGTGTGACACTGTATGTGTGTGTGAGTGTGTGACACTGTGTGTGTGTGAGTGTGTGTGACACTGTGTGTGTGTGAGTGTGTGAGTGTGTGACACTGTGTGTGTATGTGTGTGTGTGAGTGTGTGTCTGTGTGAGTGTGTGTGTGACACTGTGCGAGTGTGTGTGTGTCTGTGTGTGTGTGTCAGTGTGTGTGTCTGTGTGTGTGTGTACACTGTGTGTGTGTCAGTGTCTGTGTGTGTGTGAGTGGTAGTGTAGTAGGTAGCACTACGCTGCACTATGAACTCGGCTACCCGAGTTCGATTCTCGCTCACGGCCAACACCACCAGTGACGATTGTCTGAACCGGTCCTGGGCCTCCCTTAGGTCGACTCAGCCTCAAATGAGTACCTGGTGTAGCGGTGTAGTGATGATATAGTGGTGTTGTAGTGAACATCGCTAGCACTGGGGCAGAGACAAAGGCGGCCGGGCGTGGTGGTGCTGCTACTAGCAGCACTTGCCCCTACAGCCTGCTAGAGGCTACACGGGGGATCTTTGTCTGTGTGTAGGTGCTACTAGCAGCACTTGCCCCTACAGCCTGCTAGAGGCTACACGGGGGATCTTTGTCTGTGTGTGACTAACAGCACTTGCCCCTACAGCCTGCTAGAGGCTACACGGGGGATCTTTGTCTTTGGGCTCTAGGGGTTCGTCGACCGCACAGAGATAGCGAGGGAGGGGTTAGAGGGGAGACATTCCCCTGTTCCCGGTACAGACTCATCATCAACATCACCAACAACATCACCAACAACATCACTCACTCACCTACTCACCCACTCACTCACCTGCTCACCCACCCATTCACCCACTCACTCACCTGCTCATTCACTCACTCACTCACCCACTCACTCACTCACCTGCTCACTCACCCACCCACTCACTCACCCACTCACTCACCCACTCACTCACCCACTCACTCACTCACCTGCTCATTCACTCACTTACTCCTCACCCACTCACCCACTCACTCACTCACCTACTCACTCACTCACCCACTCACTCATTCAGATATTTACACACGCAAACACACTTACACACACACACTGATACTTACACACACTTACACACACACACTGACACACACACTTACACACATACACACACACTTTGAAACACACACACACTGACACACTTACACGCACACTTACACACACACACTTGCAAACACTCAGAGCCTCTAGACAAACTTCGGGATTAAGGAGCAGCACATTCTGATGAAAGCGACTCAGTGTGGAGTCGTGACTCTGCACAAAGTGGGGGTAACGGTGGTGGGGGTGGTGATCATTGTGGGGGTGGTGGTGATGGTGATGGTTCGGATGTTTTTGGAGGGAGAGACACACAGAGAGACACACAGAGAGACACACAGAGACACACAGAGAGGCACACAGAGAGGCACAAACAGAGAGACACAGAGAGGCACACAGAGGCACACACAGAGACACACGCAGAGAGAGAGAGACACACACACAAATACACACACACAGAGACACACACAGAGACACACACACAGAGAGAGAGACACACAGAGACACACACAGAGAGACACAGAGAGAGAGACACACACAGAGACACAGAGAAACGCACACAGAGAGACACACAGAGAGACACACACACAGAGACACAGAGAGAGAGAGAGAGACACACACAGAGACAGAGAGACACAGAGAGACACACACAGAGACACAGAGAGAGAGAGAGACACACACAGAGACACACAGAGACACAGAGAGACGCACAGAGAGACACACAGAGACAGAGACACACACTCACACACACTCACACTCACTCACTCACACTAACTCACACACTCTCTCACTCAGACACTCACACGCTCACACACTCACACACTCATACACAGCCAGCTGGTGGTGGTGGACGTGGCTGAGGTGGGTGGTGGAGGTGGTGGGTGGAGGTGGTGGTGGTTGTTGTAGTGGTGGTGGTGGTTGGACTCTGGACTGGTACGGAGCAGGGGTTTATCACCACGCTTCAATGAGTGTCCCTTCACCTCACGTAACTCTGAACCCGATGGGGACAGCTGATAGACACGCACGCACACACTAACACACACACATTGACGCACTCAGACACACACACACACAGAGACACGCACACACTGACACACACACATTGACACACTCAGACACACACACACGGAGACACGCACAATGAGACACATACACATTGACACACATACACACTCAGACACACACACACACAGACACACATTGACACACACACAGAGACACGCATACTGAGACACACAGAGACACACACACACACTGACACATAATCACACACACACACAACCTTACATACACACACAGTCCTACATACACACAAACATAGCCTGACACACACTCAATCCAACACACATGCAGTGCTGAGTCTATGGGTAGTGTTGAGTCTATGGGCAGTGTTGAGTCTATGGGTAGTGTTGAGTCTATGGGCAGTGTTGAGTCTATGGGCAGTGTTGAGTATATGGGCAGTGTTGAGTCTGTGGGTAGTGTTGAGTCTATGGGTAGTGTTGAGTCTATGGGTAGTGTTGAGTCTATGGGCAGTGTTGAGTCTATGGGCAATGTTAAGTCGATGGGCAGTGCTGAGTCTATGGGTAGTGTTGAGTCTATGGGCAGTGTTGAGTCTATGGGTAGTGTTGAGTCTATGGGTAGTGTTGAGTCTTTGGTTAGTGTTGAGTCTATGGGTGGCAGTGTTGAGTCTATGGGTGGCAGTGTTGAGTCTATGGGTAGTGTTGAGTCTATGGGTAGTGTTGAGTCTATGGGTAGTGTTGAGTCTATGGGTAGTGTTGAGTCAATGGGCAGTGTTGAGTCTATGGGTAGTGTTGAGTCTATGGGCAGTGTTGAGTCTATGGGTAGTTTAGAGTCTATGGGCG